CAATAGAGGAGACAGTCCTCATTGATAATGCATGCATTAGGATTGGTTTCATTATCATTGAAAGGTGTACTGGTATGATATGTTCCAATCCACAGTAGACCATTGTGTGTAATGTGTAGGGTATTTATATCACATGTGACATTCTCTCTTGAAACACTGCAATCACAAACACCTGAACTGTTTACACTGAAACCAATAGGACACTCATTAAAAATAAATGAAGCACCTGATTCATTGCTATATGATGTATCAGTAGTGATGATGAATTTAATGTTATGTTCTCCATAATGGTCGATATATTTTGGTGTGTATTCAATCAGTGAACAATTATTAATGTATTTGTCTATCACTATTGTTCCATTAATTTCTATTGTTATTCTCCCATCAGTAAGACTATATGAGCTTGTATGAAAAGTGCGTCCAAATAAAGCAACATTATATTTCAGTGGTTGACCTGGAAAAGCACTTTGTTGCTCATCATCATGCCATATTGGTGTGGTTTCATTACTGTCAGGATCACAAAAAGCAAATGCACGTGCATCACTTGATGTTGAAAGATTTGCTAATGTTAAGGAAGCAGTATCTTCCAATTTGTAATCGGCTCCATATATATCATTTCCAGCTACTGCAGCAGTATTGCCTTTAAATGTAAATGTGTTAAGAGTTGTTGAAAAATAGAAAATTGAATAAGAGTAATAATCCCTCTCAGTTATGTGACTTATGTCATCCAAATAAATTCCTCCTCCTTTATAAGTTGCATGATTATCAATAAACTCCAAGTTAGCTGATGGTGATAGGGCCAGAACAGATGAACCATTTATTGCCATTCCTCCTCCAACTACTCCAGTATTATTCTTAAATACTAATCTATTTTCTACAGTTACTACAGAGGCTGTAATCACCAGTCCTGTTGATAGACTATTAGTAACAGTAATGTTATATAGAAGGATAGAAAGACAGGCTGCTATCTCATTTCTCCAGTTTCCAACAAGTTTAGTATCTATAATACTGATATGAGCTGATGTTGATAAACCTCCAACAATTAATAAACCAGTAATGCTATTGTCATGACTTGAACATGACTTAACAGTAATATCAGTATGATAATTACTTAGTTGAATATAATCTCTAGATATATCAAAGGATAATCCATGACCATTGTTGTAAAATTGGGAATCCTCAATTACAATAGTAGATCGTGATTCAACACCTTTAATATCACAATTTTTAAACTGCTGTAAATGTAAATGTGTGTCTGAAAAAGAAACAAATCCTACCCCTGACTTAGATACTGATAAATGGGTAATATACAGAGAAAAAAGAGATCCTGTGAAATGATGAAAAACACCGATTTCTGATGAACTGATGATACTGACATTATCAATAACAACTGATATATTATATGAGGTACCATGGAACATACCAAGCCCTAAGCCACTATTAGTCACAGTAACATTAGTCAGTGTTAATGAGTAATGGTGTAATTCATTGTAACACACTGGAGGTGGCTTATATACAATAGTTAGACCTGCATTGTCAAAAACTGAAGATGTTATCTTACTATCAAAAACATTGAGGAGCCAGACATACCTGTATTTAAGGTTTTCAAATGCAGAACCAGTAATTGTGATATTACTTGAATATACAAAATATATGTTGCATTGCTGGAATGATAAGTTACTGAAACTGACATGACTGCTGGTATTGACTATTATAAACGCATTATTTATACAGTGAATAGTAGGAGACTGGTCCAGTCCGTGTAGAGTTATATTCTGTACTGAGTCCATTGTGACATTAAAGTTAATGACACTAGTTCCAATGAAGTAGAAGATGGTGTTATTGTATTGAGACATATCCCCAGCATACACTGATAAAGGATTACAAAGTGACTGAGTAACTGAACTGCAGTCATTAGACACATAATACTGACCAGAGGAGACACTGCAGGAGCTACTGAAGAATAAGAGAACAACCACTAACAGGAGAGACATAGCTACTCTCTGTACTGACTGACTAGTGTATACTTGCAGGCTGTGAGTGATGACTTATATAGGCTACTTGTTCTCCAAATATGGAAATCTGATGCATAGTTGTCATAATTAATTAATACAATATTAACTAGAAAAGTCATTCTTTTTAGTTGATCATATTCATAATTTAGTTTTTATTGATGGTACTGATATCATCTTTACCATAATTCTCAATTTATGATCTATGATTCATTAGAGAGACAATGAGTTAATTGTAAAGAAATACATAACTTGTAGTAGGTGCTTTAACTTTGTATTTGCTTAACTAGATCATTTTCTTTATATTTCTCCTGCTCCATTCTCTCATCTTGTTTATTGTGTACAAGGACTACATGGCTAGCCAGCCATGTTTGCATAATAAGTCATTATGAGTACAATCACAGACATAATAACACGACTGTACCTTCAATTAATGGTAATAACCTACTACTGTATATGTATATAGTTATGCATGATGTAATTCATAAGAGCGTAAATAAAACACTTGTTGTGATTCATGTACTACGTCACTATCAGTATATGCAGTATCTACTGTATAGTACTTTATTTAGACATAAATTGTGGCTTTTAATTTGGCAATTTCTGTATACACGTATACTATTGAATTTGTCCATTAATGATTGGTGGTGTTAATATTGGCAATTTTGCTGGCAATTTGCCAAAACAAAATTCTGCCAAATCAAAGCATTATATCCTTATTTCATATACAGATATATATCACTAGTGTACATAATAGTATTGTATTATATAATGTAAGTGTCTTATGTCCATACATGGCTTGAGATTTTAGTGATATAATACTAAAAAGTATATCATTAAAGAAAAGGATATACCTCATTACATTATATAAGGGGAAAGAAGGAGAATTAGTTAGAGTGACATTGTGATTGGTATCTGCTTTGCTTCTGTTTACAAGTGGGATTGATTTGTGCTTGTACAAATTTGGAATTCTAGGAAGACATGTACACGTCTAGTCGTGCATGCACTTTTAAATTAGATTAAAATGTTTTTAGAACTTTATAATTGTACTTGTAAAACAAATTTGTGTTCATGATTTCATGTACACATTACCTACTACAGACTAAGAATTTGTTATTTATGTACCTGTACATGAATAATGACTTGCTATTATCTGTAGCAAACTCCCCACAAAATACTATTAGCTGTAATGGTATTTCCACTAATTAGTGCTGTAATTACAGGCAGTATTATCAGGAGTACATAATTTATCAATTTTGGTATTATGTATAATCCCATTAGAACAGGGTAATAACATAATTTTATTTGTACAAATCCTGTGCATACTATAGTACATACTAAGAATTTGCTCATTGATGTAAATAAACACAAGCCCCTACACATTATCCACCAAATCCATCTGAATGAAATGCATGATGACTTTTACTGATATTTATTTGGACAAAGTAAATGAAAAAACTACTCTGGCCACCATGATGGAGGTATACATTTTATAGTCTTCAATGGGGAAAAGGTGTTATTTACAGTTTTTCCAGCAAAGCAAAGGAGCTGCATTCAGAGAAAAAAGATTCCAACGTTAATCTTCATTTCTATACTATTTTCTGTATTTATGTTGTGTCAAAAGTTTGAGCTGGTTCCAATTGAAATTGAATTTTTTTACAAATTTCTAAATTTGCTTCAAATTCAAGCCAAAATCTCTGTACAGGGCTATTGGCCAAATTTAGCCAAAAATGACAAGATATAAGTTTTGTTTCTACAATTTATTTTAATACGTATGCATGTTGTGTAGAAAGTTTGAGCTGATTCTGATCAAAATTGTATCTTTTATCAATTTTTAAATTTTCTCCAAAATTGGGCTGAAACCCCTGTACAATCATCTGACAAAATACCTATGAATAGCATTATAAAAACCTGTTGTATGATCGATTATATGAAAACCAGCTTTTATGCATTCAGCAATAAACAAAAAGATTGAATAAATGTACATTACATAAAGTAAAAAAATTGGTGTATTATATGTATAATATATATCATACTAAACAGGTCTATATACAAAAATATAGACCTGAGGTGGGTGTCCAAGGATGTGATATAGCCCGAGGGCTATATCACATCCGAGGACACCCACCAAAGGTCTATATCTTTTGTATATTGACCAGTTCTAGTATGTTATATAGGATATATTTCATAATGATGACAGCATTTCTGAATAGCAGGTATATATACAAAAATATAAACCCGACCACATCAAAGGATGATGTCATAATTATGATATATATATATATATATGGACACACAACACAACAAGGATTGCTCACACGACTACAAAAAATAACGGAGAATTTGTGTTAGTAAGTTTACTTTATTACAAGTGCTTGGCATTACTTCTGGTACCTAAATTAAACAAAATAAAGTACTGTCTTGTTTAAAATAGTACTCACCCCATGATTTTTATAATCTGAATTATCTTCAAAAACATTTGGTGTACTGTATTCATTACTTGTCATTACTTGACAACTTGTAGCAGCCTGTTGATAATAAAAAATAATTCAATGGAGTTTGTCATGAATATAATATTAATTGTTATACCACTTCAGTAGAAATATTTAACATAATGCCTGTTACAAGTGCTCCTGGTTTCTCTTCAATACTCAGTGATTCATTAACAAAGGAATTTTCTGTTGGAAAGTGAACAGGTGAGAATCTATTTACATCCACTGATATTATATTAGTAACGCGGTAGCGTTACTAAGTAGGATTCACCCCAAAACAAAATGGCTGCCACGACTTTTGCAGCCTTGCTATACCGGGAAAACGAGCTCCTATGCTTACCAGACTTCTTAGAGGACCTTATCTTGACCAGAGGACTCCATTGGTACCACTAGCGTGGCTCTAAACCTTGTCTATAAAAAAGTTTTAAATCGGCAAAACGGGCCGTTTTGTTCAGCCACTTTTTTTCATCTTAGTCATCTTCTCCTCACAATCCAGTTGTCCGTTTGTATCTCAATCTTGGCTGGTAGTAAAAAGCTAATTTTTACACCATTCTACTCCAACAGTCTATGCGCAGGTCCATGTCCCATCAGATCATTCTCCAAGCTGGCAGAAGTGATACTATGGTCTGCTGGGTTAGTCCAAATTACCTCATGCCGCCATTTTGTTAATTAAAGAAGCATGTGCTCCAAAATTTGGGCGTGGTTGCGCATGCTCAGACCTCAGAACTGGGAAAAGCAAGCAATTTTTTTAACCTAGCTAGGCTAGCTATGCTTGGAATCAAATTACAATACTTAGTGGAGGTTTCCAGCTAAGAGAAGGTATTGTGCAGTGAATTATTTTATTTCAAAAAAACAAACAATTAATGTTATAATAATGCAATGATAATATAAACTTAACAGGAAGAACAGGAATAGCTACAGGATTGCAGGGAAGATGGATACTTTCACTGCTTCTTGAACAAGGACTCCTGTCAAGACTAGTATTAATTTTACTTGTCATCAGTATAGTAGATATTTCTTCAGTGAGCTTATATCGATAGCAAATCAAAAATGAGTGCTATAAGTATGTGTAAGGCAGCTAGACAGGATTGCTACACTAGAGAGAAAGCTAACGATGCCTCGTGTTGACACCCAAACACTGATTATAATAATTTACACAGCATGCATTATATACAAAGATAGTTCATGAATATTTATGAGTTCTGATGTGATGTCATGATAAGTCAGCTCACTACATATCAATTCAATGCTGTACTCCTCCCTGCTCAGAAATGCTGTAAAGACATAACAATGATAATAATAATAATAATAATAAAGAAAATTATTGTTTGTGTAAAATCAACAAGTATCACGATGGCAACTGGAAAATATTATAAATCATTAAAAAAATCAACACAAACAAGAACATAAAAAATTTAAAAAAAAACAAGATTAAGTAGGATTCTAGAGCAAATTTGTAAAAAAGTAATGGAAACAAGGATAGGTAGGATTCTGAACGACCAATGAAAATACAAAATGAAAATCCTACTCGTGACGCAAATTCTACTCCACATTGCAAGGTGATCCATAATTCTTACATAATAACATTGAAAGTACAATGTAGAGTAGAATTTGCATCACGAGTAGGATTTTCATTTTGTATTTTCATTGGTCGTTCGGAATCCTACCTATCCTTGTTTCCATTACTTTNNNANGAANNNGCTCTAGAATCCTACTTAATCTTGTTTTTTTTTAAATTTTTTATGTTTTAGTAATAGATCAGCCTTTTCTAAAGGAACTGATGTTGCATTTGGCTGCACAATTTCAGCTAAAAAATGAAGAATATTATGTTTATTAATATATATTACTATTGTAATCCTTACCATCACTAGAGCAAGTATCATCTTCTACCGAAGTATTAATATCATAATCATGCATCTTCAATGTTTTTTGATGGAATTTTTTCTGTTAGAAAAATAAATGATAACCAATGTAAAAATTTATATTAATACCATATTGTCCATGAACCACAGCAGCAGCAGCATCAGTAACTTGTACTGGTACTATAAATTGAGGACTGCTCAGTACTGTATTCTTGTGCAATGGTAGCAGCATATGAAGGAGGAGGAATGGCAGAACCAAAATTAACTAACATCTCATCAGGTGTATTAATGTAATGAAGATCATGTTAATAACAAACAACAAGAGGAAAGGAGTAACAAAGAAAGAGAGAGAGAACCATACAATCAATGAATCACCACATGCATACTGAGGATGCGCATTAGGTTCACAGTATATACGGTACACACACAATGTAAACAATGATGTCCAGTCACTTCATTACATTAACAGTGACACCACCTCTCTAAAAGATAAATATAAAAGAATTAGGCCTGGTTTAAATGACTACGTTTTAAACTAAAACTGATATATTTTTAGTCGGATAAGGGTCTCGTTTACACTAAAACACAAGAAAACACACATCAAATCTGAACAAAAGAAAAACAAATACCAAAACGTATACTCCAAATATGAAAATCTGATGCACAGTTGTAATGATTAGATTCAATCTAATTAATACACTACAAGTCATTGATGATAATTAATTTTTACTTTTTATAAATGATATTTATAATCATCTATACTAATCCTTTAACTTATGATCTTTGAAGAGAAGATGAGATAATTAAAGAAATATTAATTGACATGATATAGTCTCATACTTGTAGTGCAGCTATTGCTTTGTCAGTATCTGCTTCACTCAATCAGTTTCTCTTAGTCTATATCTCTCCTACTCCATTCTCTCATCTTTACTATGGACTGCATGGTAATCATACTTACATGATAAGTCATTATGTGTACAATCACAGACATACTCTATCATTATATGACTGTACATTAAAAAAATGCTCTACTGGTATATGGTTAGTCATGAGTGTGCATTACCTCAATATTACTGTGTATGTGTGTATTTATGTATAATGTAGTTTATATATAAATAATAATCATTAAATACCCATAAGGATTACGCCTCAATCACAATAATATCATAGGAGGAGAGAGAAAGAAAGAGAAGAGAGTTAGTTAGTGAATGACATTGTGATTGTATCTGCTTTGCTTCATTACAGATGAATGTGGTGGTTTATGTGGTTAGGGCATTGTAGTGAATGATAATCCAATGATGTTTGTTAATTTCATTGGTTCAGTCCTTCAGTCAATATATTTCATCATATTCTGCCTATTCACTAATGATAAAGTAAGAGGAACTGTAAAGTATTTCTGTTTTTTCCAAGTTATATAAGTCATGCAAACTTAGTACTACTTTTTCTAGTATATATTATATCCTGTTTCTATGCATATTGTGTAGAAGAATCATTTTGTATTGATGCTGTTTCTTCCCCTTTAGTCTGTCCCTGGTAGAAATGGCCTCATTGCTGTTGTGAGTGTTTTATTTATATATGTGACAGTTCTTAATCTACCCCAACTCCTACAAGTTGTAGTGGCCCTTGGATTCATATGCAATGCTGTCACTATTGCATTCTTTGCTGCTCCGCTAGCATCAATAGTAAGAACTAATGAAAGCATCTATAATAATATTTATGAGAAAGAAGGAGAGTGAGAGAGTCAAGGCTAGATTACAATATGATGTTAGGCCAGTGTATTGTCAATTTTTAATCAAAAGTGTGGACTATTTGACCTTTTGATGCATGCTTTACACTAAAATAGAGAACCAAATTCTATTGCAGCAACAAAGTAACGTCAGGCCTAGCTTAATAATAATTATTGCAAACCAGCTACAAAAGAGAAGTGAATATAAACTGCTTTATCGTTCTCATACTTAAAGTATCTTCATCAGAGGAATATGAATAAAGCTGCTTTATCTTTGTTTTATATTCTTTATCTTCATTATTTATCTTCTATAACTCTTTCATAAAGACGACATCTTTTCAACATGATTAAATTAAATGGCATATTCATTACTAATAGTAGCAACAAAAGTACATAAAGAGTATCCAAAATCAGCAGGTGACATGAAGCCATGAACCAATTTAATATACGTATTTGTGAATAACAAATTTTGCTAATTTCAAAGATGGTTATAATTCGCAAAAATAAACTCCATTCACAATTTCTTTGCCACATTTTGCTAAAATAATACAGGAGGTCATCTTGCAAAAATTTTTTATTTGCAAATGCTTAGCAGGAAAAATTCTGAAAAATTTTTAGATTCACAAAAATAAATTTACAAAATAATCCATTTAGGTTTATGATCAGTAGCAACCAGTAACTGTTTTTATGAGTTACTGAAAGTTATAAACATATCTAGCTCTTAGTTTGTTTAATTTTTTTAATAAACAAATTTTTAAAATTATTATATTTTATTATTAATTTTTGTATTTCATTTTTTATTTTGATTTTTATCCTTTTTTATTTTAATTTTTTATTCTTCATTTTATTTATTTTCATTCTTTATTTAATTTTTTTAATTTTGTAAATTTATTATTTAATTTTTTTAACTTTATTTTTTATTAAAAATATATTTTTATTTTTTCACTTTTTTATTTTATTTATTTTGATTTTTCATTATTATTTTTATTAATTTTTTTATTTTTTACCGGTTGTATTTTTTAATTCTCATTATTTTTTTAAAATTTCTTTTATTACTTTTTTTGTAATATTTTTTTATTTTCATTTTATTATTATTTTTATTTTATTATTAGCAGCAGGCTGGCTATGCAAGACTATACCATAGTATCCATCATAGATACTAAAAACACGTTTGTAGTATCTATGGATCTATAGATATTACACACTATAATATCTTCATATTTTATATTCATACTTAAAGTATCTTCATACTTCATTCATACCTTCATGTTGTGTAGTATCTATGGATCCATAGATATTACAGACTACATAACCTATAACGTAGTTAGGTAGTCTATAATTTCTATGCTCCTACTTAGTAATGCTACTGCGTTACGTATGTACATTGACTTTACTGCTATTTTGTATCAAAGTCCCCACAAATTAACTAAAGGAATAACTTGATATAAAAGGAACTAAAGACACAAAATGAAAGGCAATAGTAACAAAAACAGCAAAAATAATAATAGTTAATTATTATCACAATTGTATACACACACAGTATGAGACTGTAAACTGAACATTCTAAAAAGTAATGAAGAATAGATTAATTATAGTAACTGCTTCTAAAACTAAAGTAGCTAATAATATTAACAAATAAATAAATTAAGATTGAAACAAATCAACAACTGATTCACGGTTATTTCTCAGTCTAACATCAGTAGAAGTTGGTACAATTTCCTTCATTTGTTGATCAACAGTTTTATGTGAATCGATGACATCTTGATCATTATCATCTTCATCTTGTTTCTTGAATAACTTCTTAATTAGAGCATCATAACATTTCATATGTGATAACTGCAGGTAAAGATGATAAACAACAATCAAAAT